ATTTTGACCTAAAATTTGATAATAATTATCACATGATCTTGAATTGAATGAAAACTTTGCCTACTACATACACATGATATGTTACAGTATTACATTGTCATTGTCCTTATTGTTGTATTGTTCTTATGTTCCTCCTGTTAATGTACCCACAGGGTAATGTCCCTCCTGATGCTAGTACTGATACTCATGAGATACCAAGAAGAACTAAACTAGCTCAACAACAATTTGTAAGTTTATTAGTTTATTAACAACATTATATCACTTCTCTCTCTCTTATTCTCACTGTTAGGATTCATTCATTAAAAGTGGATTAATTATTAATTATTGTAATGGACCATGTACTGACTGTACTGAACCATCATAACTAATAATAATGTATTATACTACTCTTTTATAATGGCCGTTTATATATTTTATATTTTTTATACATAATTTTTAATAGTACCAGTTCCTACAATCCTTTCATTGTGTAGAAAGACACTAGCTAGCATCAGAAATTATACATAAATACCATGAAGTAAATTAATTAGCAGTGTGACACGCCCATTTTAGCAGGCCACACCCATTAAAGGTGGGGCTCGCTCAAAGGTTCTCTAATATCAATTTTGCTGTTCTCACGGCTTATACTTTGTCTGGTTCTTGTAGCTATTGTAGTCTATCCAGCCGAACTGCACCCTCCCTAAACCGGAAGAATTTTCTTTGCAACCGGAAAAGGTGTTACCCAAGAAAATGGCTGAACTTAGGTTGTACTTTGTTTTTAGCTGGAAATCTTTACTGGACCACTATTAAAGCTACTTTATGCTATCATTTTGATTACTTCAAGGTCATAAATGAAATACTTTTAATGGAGAATCAAAGTTCTATGTTCTATGGCAATAAAAGGACCATGTGTGACATTGCTAAATGGAAAGGAAAAGCAAGAAAGCTATTATTTCTATACCCGTAAGTGGGACAATGAATGTTTGGTTTTATAGTGTTATAATATTGATCGTGGGACACAATGAACATGATAAAATGAATTATATGGCTAAGTACCAAGTTTGTAGTACAAATGAAAATTACAGTATTACGTTAGCTATCACTTGTCATGTATTAGTAGTCCATGTTGTTTAACCATGGGCCACAGTATGATACAGATGTGTTGCTAGACTTATTCTCTACATTTGCTGATGGTGTAAACTGTACATTGTTGTTTGTGTTGTGTTTATTTGACCTTCAAAATTATCACCAAAATTATTTTGTGATATAACTTATGTCATGGCAGTGGTGGGTAAATGCATGTCCTGATTTTGGGCAGGAACCACAAAAGGCACAAGGTGCAGGACGATGCCACTTTTTATGTATGTATGTAT